CAAACTGAGAGAGGGGAAATTTAGGTGAGATATTGGGAAGGAATTCTTCCCTGGGAGGGTGGGGAGGCCCTGGCACAGGTTGCCCAGAGAAGCTGTGGCTGCCCCATCCCTGGAAGTGTCCAAGGCCAGGTTGGACAGGGCTTGGAGCAATCTGGAATAGTGGGAGGTGTCCCTGCCCATGGCAGGGGGTGGAACTGGATGAGCTTTAAGGTCCCTTCCAACCAAAACGATTCCATAATTTGCTGCTTTAGAAAGACCCAGGGTGGCCACTTGGATGAGGCTGCAGCAACTAAATCAGGGGAGTGGGATGACTCTGCCTCAGAAGGCTGGAATTCTCACCTTTCTGCACTGCTCCAAGCAGTCCCTGGGGAGAGAAGTCGCAGGTGCTGATCCAGGAGTGCAGCTCCCCCAACCTCACCTCCATCAGGGGCCTCTCCGAGAGGGGACCTGAGGGGTGACAGTCACAGTGGGCACAGGCAGGACAAGGTGTGGGGGGTTTGTGCTCCCTGTGCTGTGTGGGGAGCTGGGATCTGACATGGGATTTGGGGTTGGAAGTGGAGAGGGAATTGTCTGTCCCACAAAGTTTGAGCTCCAGCAGCCCAAATGTGCAAGAACCTGACTCCAACCTACACAAAAACATGAACCGTTGGTTTTGCAGGCTGGAGGAGGCACAGCTGACCTCCTTGGCTTCTCCTGGGTCCCTTCCTGGACAAGCCCAGCAGGTCAGCATTCCCTACCCCTCCTCTCCCATTCACACCTCCCATTCCAGCCTGACAGTGCAGCAAATCCCAGCACAGAGACTTTGGTTACCTCGGTGTCCCTCTGAGAAACTGCCCCTTGATGTCTTCACTGTGATCCCCACATCTTCTTGGAAATGCTTCCCTGGAAAGATCCTCAGCCCCTCACGCTCAGGATACAAGTCTGGAAACCACTCCAAGCCTGTGGCTCCTGCCCAGGTGCTCCTGCCAGAGGCCTGGGATGAACAGGTGGGCTGGAATTTGGGAGAGTGGAGCCAGGACTGGTGCAGGGCCAGCCCCGGGTCTCTCCCTGTGCCCAGGATGGGCTCGGACACTCCAACCATCTGCTCCCTGCTGTCCCTGAGCCTCTCCAGGCTGCTGAGCTCATTCTTGGATGGCCCTTCACTGTGACCTCCCAAACCCTCCGTCACTGACAGATGGAGGTTCTTGGGATGCAAATCAGACACAGGGGCTTTATATCCCACACCAACTTCCCGGTGCACCTGCTCCTCTCCTGCCATGAATTTGTCTGTTTTCTCCTGCTGAACGAGGTCACCGGGGCTATTTCGGCCCTCGGGGGGTTCTCCAAGTACTTTTGTTGCCTTTAAGCTGCTTTTTCCTCCCTTTTTGCTCCCGGGCACGCCCCTCACAGCCCCCAGGCTCTGAGTCTCCGCGTGTGTGGATTTTGGAGCGGTTTTGCCCCGCTGTGGGGGGGCAGCACGGCCAGGATCCGTCCCTCCTGCTGCTCCTGCCCCGCTCCTGGGCTTCTTCTCCCTGATCACCCTGGCGCGGTGCTTCTCGATCACCACCTTCACTCCATTCTCCAGCCTCTGGGGGACATCCTCCACCTCCTCGGGGAGCAGATCCAGGGCTCTGGCCACGTCCTGCACCGCAGGCTCCACATCCCGGCCGGTCCTGGGGGCGCCGAGACCCGGCCCGGGGTCGGTACCGGGGGCCGGGCGGGGGCTCGGGGCTGAGATCGGCCCGGGGACGCTGCCGGTGGCCGGGCCGGGGGTCGGGAGGGGATTCGGGCTCGGTGCTGACCCCGGAGCGGTGGCGGGGGCCGGGCTCGTTTTCTTTTTCGCTCCCGCTCCCGGTGCCGATCCCGAAGTGCTGGCGGGGGTCGGGAGGGGACCCGGGCTCGGTGCTGACCCCGGAGCGGTGGCGGGGGCCGGGCTCTTTCTCCTTTTCGCTCCCGATCCCGATCCCGAAGAGCTGGCGGGGGCCGGGCGGGGACCTGGACTCGGTGCTGACCCCGGAGCGGTGGCGGGGGCCGGGCGGAGCCTCTCTCCCGGTCCCGATGCCGATCCAGGTGCTGGTGCCGGTGTCGATCCCGGTGCGCTGCCGGGGCCCGTGTGGAGGCTCGTTCCCGATCCCGTTCCCGATTCCGGTCCTTTCCGCGGGGCGGCCTTGCAGTGCGGGAGGTGGGTGCGGAGCCGCTTGAAGGGCCTGTGGCAGTGCGGGCACCGCTCCGTTCCCGCTCCCGGTCCCGGCTCCGCCATCACCGCCCCCCCCCCGCACCCGGGACCGGCGCGCGGCCGTGACGTCACAAAGGCGCGGCCCCGCCCCCGCGCGGGCGCGCGCTGTGACGTCACGGGGGCGAGGCGGCGGCGGCGGCGGAAGCGGCGGCGGGGCCGGGACGGGCCGCGCTGCCCCCCCCCAGCCCTCAGAGACCCCTCAGAGACCC